TGAAGCAATAACACCTCAAATAACAGAAAAGAATCTCCAGATATATAAATTCTGCCATGTCTTTTAAAAAACATAATTGCAGAATTTAAAAATGCAGATGACTTTTTTTTAATTTGCCCTCTATTTTGATATATATTAACACACAAAAAAAGAATAAAAAGAAATTTTTACTTATAGTCTGAAATTAAATTGGAAAAATTCTTAGAGGATACACAGAATGAGCATTCTTTATTCACTGAGCAATATTCCACTTCCGCACTTAGCTGTTCATGATAGCTGCAGAGTCTCATCTGAGACCTTTCCAGGTATGCTAACAGTCTATTCCACCTTAAGAAAACAGGGCTCTCAAGGGTCTGGCATAGCCCATGAAATTCAACAGTGAATTTCCAGACTCAGATGCATTTCTAGAAATTCTAGTAGAAGCTGTTCATATGGATCTTTGGTGTCACGGAGCAGTGGGCTGGCACAAGCAACATTCCTCTCATGTGTCCTTGAAAAATATAGGTAGAGTGAAGGGCACACATACAGTGTGGGGAAAACAATCTATTCATGTTGTCCTACTTAAATTGACTCGCACCCTCAAGTGACAGGACAATTTCACACATATCCCATCACTATTCTATTATCACACACTGTAAATGTGTGAAACTTTCCAGTAAGAGTGTTCAGTTCACTTATCTTCATTTCTGAGCTTAGAGACTCTATATAAAGATGCTCATAACAGCTGGATGTCGACTGAAGTCTTAAAAACACATTTAACATTTGAAACAAGGAGAAAAATAACTTCAGAATAAGGGAAGCAAAAGTATTGCTAATACTAAAACAACCTCTCCCACCTTGATAATTTGTAAATACTTGAATGCTAACAAGAGGTCCCGTAACAAATGTTCACAATCAAAGATGCATTTGGTATTATCTGAAAAAACTTATTAGAAAAGTGATCAGTTATTACTGGCAGCCCTGCTATTTGTGGATAATCTACCTAATAAAAAATTATTTTATTACAATTATTTTTTATTATTATTTATTACAAAGTTTATTTTACACAAAGGTGTTTCAAAAAAGGGACATATCTGTGAGACAGCATTCAATATTGCTTCTGGACCCCTAAATGGGTTGGTGTTCAAAGATGTATGGTTTCAAATCAGTACTAGGGCTTTATGTAACACTGATAGTATCTTCAAATCAAACAAAACTGCCTGTTTGTTGAGGCCAACACAAACCACAAGGAATTCTATGAGGCTACACTGCTAAGCTGACCTATGGTCATTTTAAATAGCAGATCTCAAATTTCTAATAGCCAACTGTAAACAACATTTATACTGATGAAACAACTCCATACATTTAAATAGGAAAGAGAACCATGGAAAAACCAGGACAGTTTACCCTACTTAGTAGCACAGTGAGTGCATCACAGAGCTTCCATATTGCTTGCAGCAGTGAAGTTTTCCCTCTGAGTGGGTTCATTTAATTAATTCCAGGAGTCTGCCAAGAGCCTATGAACAATAATGCCAGTTTTTGGCTCACCCCCAAACCATGCAGAGTAAGTGAGATGGCAGGCAGCCATCTGCTGTGGTCACTGTGGAAGTAGCAAATGCCAAGATAAGCTCTGAGGCATCCATAATACAGATGGATATAAACCATTCCAGATCAATAGAAGTATTCATCCTATTACTTAAGCCACACATCACTCAAGTTCAATTGCTAAAAGCTGCATCTTTCTCAGGCTTTTAACCAAACTATAAAAGTGTGTTCTTCTACCATTACACAGACAAACCAATGAAAAAGGAGGCCTCCCAGAGCTTACAACTAGAGAACAATTTGTAGCAGGGTTATACAAGCTTGAGCTTGATACAGCCTCTTACTGGAAGAGTATGGGCTTGAATCCCTTCCACGACCATGCCGATGTGAGTATTCCTTTTTTCCTCTATTTCAGTTTCAAAGAATAAAGATACTTAATATGTGTAACTTCAGTTACTATCTGCATATGTTGAACTTTCTTTTCACTTTAAAGTATTTTCACATTAACACTTTAAATTCACCGTCTCAAAGCTTTGTAGCAACATAGTCATGACAGAACCTAGTTACTAGTTCCCCCATAAGTCTCAAAGCTCCTAGATGCGATACTTATGAAGAGGTTTTCCATCCTTCTACCTCTACTTAAGCCCACGATTGGTTTTGTGATTATTCAAAGTGTTTGAGGGACAATAAATGGAGTACTCTGTGAAGTCCCCTGGGAAAAGCATTTATCTGCCTTTCAGCGCAAGTATTTGTATAGCTACAGACAAAGTTCATATTTAGATTTTTAAAGACAACAAAATTATGTATTATGTTCTGGATGCTTGGAGCCCCATTTTAAAAGAGAAAAAAAAAAAGGTACAACATGCCTCTTTATTTGCACGGAACAAATAACCTGGTTAGAGGAAGGTGTTCCAAAACAGGTACCAAGTGAGGCCTGATGAAGGATTTGGGACTCCTTGGGGACTGTCTCCGTCCCCTCAACAGCTTTAGCAGCAGTTCTATGTTTGTTCTATGTTTGTTAGACTGTGACACATCTGCTCAGCTATTCCTTATCTCTGTGGAGAAAAGGTGGCAAACACCTGGATTAAATTTTCTGTCTTCCTGAAGCAAATGGAAGATGACATTCTTGTACTAGACAATAATGAAGGTTAATCCTGGATAGTCTTGCCTTCTGTGGGAACTCTAAAAAAAAGGGAAGATGAAAGATTTAAAGCATGCAAGTAAATTAATTGTATATCAAGATAATGGTTGACTGGAAATTAATTTAATCTACAGTGCAAGAGCCTTCTTTCTTAAAAATAAGCCTCAGTAGGGAACATATTTTGCTCAGTTCACTGATTGTTTCATATGCATCTTTTTTATTAATATTGAAAGGAGCACAAGCTGTGCATCACAGAATGCTATTAAACTGTCTGTTTTAAAAGCTGACACCTCTCATCTCACAACACAAAATAATGTATTATGTGGAGTGAGAAATCAAAGGACAGGAGGTGCTGGTCAGGGAGATGTTAATAGGGCTGTGGTAAATCATTCCTATGCAAGGTTATTATCATACTGTGGCCAACTTCTCTAACTAGTATACTAGATTTTAAAGCAGAACTAAAGAAACTCATTGTTTTATACTATGGCCTAATGATAGCTAGTGTAGCACTGTTTAATTCTGTTCCTTGAAGTACAGAACATGTTAAGAACAACAAAAGCACTCCAGCACTTGAAAGAATGGCCAAATGGGCTAGCTGGTTTTTGGTTTTTTGGTGTTTTCTTTTGTTTGTTTGGTTTGGTTTTTAACAAAGAAAATCAATGGGGTTCATAGTAAACCTCTATAAGGAAGCAATAAGGAAAAAAGAAAAAAAATCTTGTTGCTATTTATGAATACCAATGAGGAAATGCCAATTTGGATAATAAATAAATTCTTAAATAGTGATATTTATACTTTTAACAAAGGATATTTAACCAGTGGAAAAACTGTGTTACAGGCAGTCACAGTCCAGAGTGAGAATATTTCTGAAGTTTCATGCGAAGTTGCATACAATGATCACAATGCTCCTATCTAGGCTTTTATCTAGAGATCACTTCTCATTTTGTCTCGCATTTGTTTTTTCTTTTTCTAGGTGGTGTTCACAGCTAATGATGCTGGTAATCGGCATTACAAGATTGCTGTTGTCCTTAGTCCCTTCTCTTACTCAACTACAGCAGTAGTTAGTGACCCAGTGGAATAGAAGCTGACATTAAGCATGAAAATTCAGTTGTGTAAATTAAAATTTCCAGAAATGATAAGAACTTGGTATCTGACTGTATCAACAGCTTTAGATTTCATAGTAAATCACCAACAGTAAGTTTTTTATTCACTTTGTTTACCTTAGGAAGAAAGTGTATTGACTTTGTTTCCAAATTCTCTTCTAAATAAAAGTATTCTGCATTTCTGTATTGCCAGTATTGCCCTTCAGAGTAGAAGTTTAGGATTTGAAAAAAACACATTAACATTATGAGAAAATTTATTGAAATTCCATTATGGGGACTCTGAGAATAAACCGCGGTCTTTCATGAAGCTTTTAAACTAAATTTCTTCTTGCAAAGGAGTTGAAAAAAACACATCTGTGAAATGCATCTCATGAAAAGTAAGCAGACAGAAAATACAATCCACCACTACCATCTCCTATGTTTTATTAATGAAGCTCACAACAGATGAAGTCACATGGGATTAACTTCCTCAGGGCCCCACACAATTATCAGATAAACTCACCTCTCAATTCTGATTTTGGAGACATAGAAGTGAAAGCAGGTAAAGGTGACAGTGTGGTAGAACAGCATTTAAAGATGCTAAGCAGGCTACACATACTTAAAATGCCTTCTTTCCTGTTTTCCAATGTACCATAACTGGTGACATTTTCAAGGACAGACCAGAAGCCTGTGTTTCAGAAAAGTATATCGCTCAAACATGCCTGAAGAAGCTCATTCATGTATTTGCAGAAAATTCTGCAAATATTGTCCCCAGTTGAAGTACTCTCCAGAATTACTTGCATACCTCAAACCATCAGACACTTTCGTAATAGTGGTAAAATGCAATTAAAAATAAGGATAACTGATGAATCCTGAGAAAATGAGTTTCCTATTTAATGCCAGGAGAAATTTGGATGAATCCTTCTATTGCCATTCTAGTAACCCCTATATAGGGAAAAACCATTAGGAGATTCAACAGAATAGCAACCCTGTCTTGGAAAAGTATGCAAAAAGGTTGAGTCACTTAGCCTAATAAAACCAAAACCTGAAAGCCTATAAATACAAAGAAAGGGAAAACGCCCTTCAAGCCTAAGGCTTGATCCCATCACAGCCTAACCTGATGTATTTGGACAGGTGTGTCCTTTCTTTTTGCTGTTACTTTGGGGTACAGGACACTAGAAAAATGAGCATTTTATCTAGAAACAAAACAAAAATATGGTACCTTTTCCACAGAATCTCAGAATAAACAAACCAACACAATCTTTAGAACATTATATTTCATAAAAGACAATGATAAAAAAGTACAAACATTTTCATGAACAACAAAAAAACCCAAAACTATGATAGTACACAGGAAATTCCCAGCATTTGTTTCAGTGCATTTTTTCATTAAGCCTATCTTACATACCTCTACAAATAAAATAATCTTAAGTACACTTCCGCTTGCTGATATGCAATGGATCCTTTTAATTTTTTTAAACAGCTGGCTCATTAGTAACCCACTACAACAATTAGTAAACATAACGATAGAAAAATAGTGGCAAGATCCAAGAAAAAGGACATTTTGCACTTGCTTTTCAATACACTGCCTATTTGCAAAATGGACTTTATATTTCATATTCTCCTACTTAAATTTGAAATAGAGAAAAGGGGCTTGAGAGTATCTTAGCACATTAACCAGATTCTACTCTTAATATTTCTGTAATGTTTTTACTTGCTAATTTGCAAGACTTTCAGAATCTTGTAAAATACTCCCTTCTTCTCACTCCATGTTCACTCCTTGAAGACATCCCTCATTTGCCTTGTCAGCAGTGCAAAAGCCAATGTGATTGGCTTCTCTCTACATTTTACAAGAACCATGAAATTATCAAAAGGAATGTGCACAACTCTTAGTTCTGCATCATATTTATTGTGTTTGAAGGCACTGTCTATGTTAAAATTCACTACAGAAAAGTACTGAGTTCAAGCAGGTAGTATACAAACACTAGTTTGATGTAATTTAAGATGGCAACTCCTAAAACTTCCAAACAAAGTGATAAAAGGTATTTAGAGAAGAGCGTTGGTCAGCAATTCATAATTTAACATCCATCATTTTGGGGCACCAAAATGTAAACTTTTTAAGAACTCAGCTATATGTCACAATCCATTCACAGACTGGTTTAAATCACGTTTTTCTAGGACCATACATGATCATTCACTTAAAGCTGTAAAGTTATATTAGTTCAGCCACAGCATATGTGTAATATAGTATGTATATATGTAAGTATACATACATATATATGCATAAGATTTTTTTTTATAATTGCACATATATTTCACAGAATGCCTAAGTAATTGGCACAAAAGCATGCTTCAGAAAACAGTACAGACCTATGGTACCAAAAGATGTTTCATGATCGTAGGTGTGAAATTGTAGGTGAACCTGTACTGAAAACCAGAAATCACTTCAAAATTACATGAGGGATTTAAAAATTTATTCAACTGTTCTTAAAGAACTATATTATAGCCTGCTATGAAATAAGACTAATTTTATTTTGAAGATATAACTGTTCATACAGTGTATTATCTCTGCTTTCTCCATATGCTTCAGAATATTCTATACACCCAATTATAGAAAAATCTATCAGGAGGTGAGCAAACCACTTATGCATGCTTTTGAAGGATGTTTTCTTCACTTTATGCTTTTAGTTATTTTCAGTGTATTACATCGTTCCTAAAGCATGTTAGATTAACTGGTAGATATTAAGGTAATTCTAGTATGGTATAAAATATCCCTTACAATTGTTTGCAACTACTAAATTAAATTATAATATTTCTACTAAATATTTGTGATGCTTACAGCTAAGCTCATAACATTACTGAAGGATGGCTAAGGGCAGAATTTGCTGCTGGGATGCCAAAGAAATAAAAGGTGTTTATGGCAAACAAACTTAAAATATACAAAGCACTACACCATTTGTGGCAGCAATTCAGGAAACAAACATATAGTAATGACTTAAAGTTAGGATTCTTTGTCAACACTCTTACAGAACACTCTATGGATAAACAATCCTTATTATATATACTGCTTTCCATTCTTTATGGGAGCAGAAGTCAGTCTTTGGTTCCTAAAGAGTTGAGTAACTGTGACAAACGAAACAATTTAGCATATCTTGGTCACTATATTTGCACTAACATAGAAAATAAATGACCTGGTCCTTTTCTTTTGTATTAACAAGGGATGTAAAAAAATATTAAGAAAGATAATGCTTAGCAGTGGGATACTTTTAGGCAGCATAACATTGCAAGCAAAGAGAAAATAAGATAAGGAAAAAGGCTAGTTATTCATACATTTAACACCACAAAAATAGAGAAACAGACAGGACCAATCCTTAGTGGGACTGTGCAACCTCAATCTCATTGACAGTCATTGACTTGAGGATCCTCAGTGCATCATAGAAGCACTCAGCACTCTACCAGAATAGGCCCTTAAATAGCTATATTGAATAATATATTATGAGTGGAATTTTAAAAAGCACTTGGGAATGGCCTGCTTTCTGTTCTGCTTATGTCATCACCATCCTCATCAGCAGAACAATGCGGCCAACACCGTGCTTCTGAAAATCCCACTCTGCAAGCATTTGAACTATTAGAACTATGTTTTATTATTCTCTTAAAAATCTAACTTTAATATTCTTCCAATGAAGACATATTTTTGGCTCTTCTGATTTTGGAGGAAAAAAAGTGCTGTTTACTAGAATTAAAAAAATAAAAATAAAAACAAAAAACCAATACCAAAGTACTGTACGCACCCAGACACATTGTTTTAGGCATTGAAATCCCTGACATTGACACTAGTGGCACACTTGGAAACAGTTAAGAGTTCCTGTAGATCATAATATGCAACAACTGCAAGATTTTTTGTAATACACATGCAATATGCATATAAATACGATTCAGATGGCAGGCAGGGTATCATACAATTTTGCTGGCAATAAATAAAATTAAAAGCTTTCTTTCTAGCAGGTTCGTATAAGAAACTGATTTTTCTATATAGATATGCAGGAGGCCTAGAGCTCAAAACTAGTATAACAGTTTACAGTCATAGCTGGCCAAAAATTAATATTTCCTTCATTTCACATAAGGTATAACCTTTTTATAAGCATACTTACATTTTACACTTGTTCTTTCATGCTAATAAAAACATTCCTATAGAATTCAAATGAGAACACACTCAAATACATACCAAAGCATAAAATATTGAACAACTGAAAAGCAATGTACACACATTAATTTACATCACATATTTACAAAACACATTTTAAAAAGAAACAAAAGCATTCATTTAAATACGAGGAGGGGCAGTTTAGTATAAAAAATTCCTGGAAGAGGCCTGTCCTTACTTCCAGAGAAGCTACAAGTCTGTTTTTTGCAGTTTGTTTAGTTGAGTAGTTAAGATAAAGAGTGTGAAGAATGAAGGCTTGAACAGTAGTCTCATGCTGTAAACATCTGAGTGGTAGCTGCTGGCTTTTCTTTCAGGACAAAATGCATGGTACATACAATCACTTCTCATCCCAAATATGCATCATCAGTTGGTCAAAAAACTAATTCTAAGCTGCTGTTTGTTGGTTTTGCTTTGTTTTACAGTGTTTATCAGTAGCTTCCAGTGTTAAAAGTTTATTCTGGTAGGATATCTTGCCGCTCCACTTCCATCAATAGTCTCTAACAGGAGCAAGTTCTGGTATGAGATTAACAGTTATATTTTTATACAATCTACTGACAATTATTTTAGGAGTATATACTAAATTGTTCAACCCATCAATGTACTGACGTTCTCTGGAATACCTCAGAAGTTTGTATCTGCAGAAGGAGTTGGAAGAAGAAAGTTGAGAAAGATTTGCGAGAAACAATTCAGTTGATGTTAGACATGATACTGTGACAGTCATTTGATTTTGAAGTATACCTTAAATTCCGAAACTACTCTTCAGACCTTTGAAATTACCAAATAACCTACCTTAGGTTTAAAAGCAAGTTTTTAAAGAATTTTAATACAGTTAGATTTTATGGCCACAAATACAAGTTAACATTAAGATTAAATAACTTAGGAGGCATTCAATATGCAAACTTTTTATGGTCCTGAACTAAATAGCTTTTTTTAAATTATTCCATTTCTTCACGTTATTTTGCTATAAAATTCACCTAAGGAGTTCAGGAAAGATTTAGGAATCTTCACTGTTCTTCACTATAAATTTGAATGTCTGAAATTATTTTAATTTCACTCTTGATACTCCTGCATTTGCAAACATCTAAATTTGAGGTGATTAAAAAAAAAAGTTCCCCTCCCCCAGATTACCCATATATACATTTTAGTTTCCTATAACAGATTTACTCATTTCTACTGCACATGTCTATAATTTTATTCATAATTCAAACCTATGAATAAAAGAGAAAAAATACGTTCCCAGAAAAAGACATCCATTGATGACAGAACTGAGCAGCATTTCTAGTTAACTGCAAACACATATCATAAACCCTTTATTTTGTGTTTCACCTTCTAAATTTTATGGGTAGCTCATCTGCTGCATTCTGGTTTCTATTCCATTCCAAGGCAGCCAGAACCAGTTGGCCAGTTTAACTGTTTTGTGTCTTTGAGCAAAAGAAAGGAACCTCAAAAGAAAAGGTTTAAATCAATGTATGAAGGAAATTAGAAGACCTGAATCTCAGAAAATAATTAAATATGAGGAAAGAAACCAATCCTTGAGGAGTTTTTAAGTCAGTTTTCATGCAGGAGTCCTTTGCCCTAGCTGCACTGCTTCCTTTTGCAAAATATCCAGAATAGCTAACTAATGGAGCCCTGCCAGCACTAAAGCCCAAACTATTATGGAATAACGTTATGGATCAAAGGTTATGATGATAATATCTTCCAACACACAAATTTAGTCTCTCTCATGGTTAAATAAGAAATATCTGAACAGCAAACATGTTTTTAAGAAAATACAAATTTTAGCACAAATGAGGAAATAGCACTGATAAGAAATGACTGCTTATTCATATGTGTAGATTCAAGGAAAAAATTTCACATCTTTAGGTGTAGTATTTGAATATTTCTCTGTTTGTCTTACCGTCCTAAAAACTGGACTTCACCTCTGTGATGGTGAGGAATGGATTTGTACTTCCCTAAATCACCTTCTGGTCTTGTTACATTGTATCCAGCATAGTGAACCCTGCAGTATAACACATAAACGTTTGTAAAAACATCTTCTTACAACTCACCACACAAGTTAAAGCAAAAGTGAAAAATACACATCAAATATTTTAAAGCTAAGTCTTTCTGTTCACTGGCATTCTCTTCCTAAACAAAACAGCAAATGTCCAAACTCAAGTAAAAAAGCTAGCAAATCAAAGTGAATGATACTAATAACAACAACAATAATAATAATAATAACAATAATTCTTCAATATTTCCTGCTTGTTCCAGCATAAAAGCATGAGAATAAGCAAGAAAAAAAGTATGGAAACAAACTTGTCCTTTAAAAGGTATCTCTTTATAGACACACTCACACAGATGCTTTCAATAGCTCAGTTAGAACAGTTTAGACTCATTCACTGTGAGCAGTTGGTAATGTCATGAGTAGGGCTGTCCATTGTCCAGCCTGGGACTATCAATATATTCACAAATGAACCTCTCTCTCAAACACTTCCCCTAAGATATGAAACTCCTGCTTACACTACATGTCTGTGGCATAGTATTTCATAATGTTAGAAGTAAGAGTGATGCAATATGCTTAGTATGGTTACCTGTTGTTATATCCGTTGTTGTAAGACTTAGCTCTTAAAAACCTGCTAGTTTTCCCCAGGCCAAGAAAAAAAGAACATCATACTTATCCTTTCAAATTATATATTCTGATATTTCCAAAGCAAACTATGTAGAATTTGTCCATTTAAAACAAATTACAAAAAGGTAACAAGTAACAGAACAGAAAGCACCTAATTGGTCTCAAAGAGTGGATGGTACAGAAAGACCTAAGCACGCACCTGTTCCAAAGATCATCATCTTCTCCACCCCATCCCCAAAAGGCATTTGGAAAACCATTGATCTTCTTGAACTGTTCCACTGTCAGGCCACTTACACCACCAAAGAACTCATTGTATGGAAGGCTGGAAACAAAAGACAAATTCTACATTGTTAGCTGAACTGTGATGGGTAGCCCTCTCTTTGAATAACACCATTCCAAAAGAGCAAGTGCCCCAAACTAAGGACATGATCAGAGGCTGAATGTATTCACTAAGGGAAACTGGTGCACAGATTGCCAGCATTAAGTAACGTACACCAAGTTGAACAAAAGGTTTGCAGTAGTGTCTGATTTGCATAAAAGGTGCTCTTAAACTGTAGCTCCAATTAGTATCACACATATGAAACAAAAGTCTACCAGGTATTTCAGATCAGATGGCTGATTCAGACCCATAGCTGAAGTGTTAAGTGAAGCCCTCAAACTACTTATGTTGGCATTGTTCAACTGAAAAAACCCTCTTTAATCAACTGAAAAATTGCAAATCAGTAATGCATCAATCAAATAATTTTAATTCATTACTATATTCTACAGAACTGTCAAAATTTGACAGAAACATTTTAACAGTACATATTAAACAGTGAATTACATGCTGATTTAAAAAAAAAAAACATTTTCCAGTTTTTAAAAGATAAACTTTTGAATCAAAGGGATCTAAGGGCTTTCCTGTTAGTAAGCAACAGTATTTGCTAACACATATAATTAAGCAGTAAGCAGTTGGTCAACATGAACAGCCTATCTATAAAACATATTTTTCCCCAGCCAATGTGATTTCCAGTCCTCCAAACACTCTGTTAATCAAAAAAAACCCCAAACATTTAAGTATCTGTATTTACTTCCATCAATATTAACTTGCATCCTTAACCCAGAAGCTGCTACAGTAAAGTAGCTTTCTTTCAGAAGCAGCACACAATCTCATAAAACAAGTCTCTTAGAAGACACTTCCAAATCTGGAACCTTCAAGGAGTTATGACCATCCACAAAAAGATTTACCATTGCTTAGGACACAACTGCCACACTGAATAAGTCCAGAATGCAAGGGGAAAGAAAATAGAAATACACAATCATGTAATTTCTAATCTTTGTGGAAACACAGGATTCAACCAAATCTTAATAGCATGTGGAGAAGGTTGCAATTATATTTGCCTTCCAACATTTAACTGAAAGAGCAGGTGTTTTAACTCTCCTCCTCCCTTCAGAAAATCCCACATACATAGCTCCAAAATAACGAAAAAAAAACATTGCCAACCCAAAACCAACTGGAATATGACAGTTAAGCTTTTTGAGGTTTATTTATTTTTGTATTTTACAAATCTGTTTTGGTTTTTTTATACAAAATGTATCAATTTACTTCTTTAGACATTATATAAATGCATAAAGTGTTTCATAAGTACATACAAAAATAGATGAAATCTCTTATCTATTCATAGGTGCTAATTTATTTATTTTTAAATATATGTGAAATGTTTAAACATTTAACTGCTGATTGGTTGACCACTTGAAGTCCAGACACAGAGCCATAGTTTCAAGGCATTGCTTTTGATCTGTTAATTTACCAGGTTGTTGAGTTGATTAATTTCACAAATAAATTTCAGGATAGCAAATACATACATGTAGCAAACAATAAGCCACAGCTTTATGTGAAGTGATTCCAAGAATATCGTGAGATAGCAGAGTGTTAGGAAGCAAGATTAATGTAAACTGACAGAAGAGAAAGAGGTAAGAAAACTGCAGGTCCCACTACATTCACCAAATGTCAACAGAGACTGAGAGAAAATAGCAAAATGGTCTAGTAGGAAGAAAATAATAATTTTAAAAAGCAGTATGAAACAGAAATAAAAATGTACATTTATGAGAAAATAACATGTGATATTTTCCTGCAGATTATCTGTTTTTCTTCTGTAACACCCAGCACAGGTGTTTATGTAGCCAGAAAACATTTCTAGTAAGTTAGGTAAGATTTTCCCCTTTTTTTTTTTCGAGATCAACCTCATTGCAATAAGCTCAATATTGAAAATCATATAAAATAACGATAATATAAAAATAATATATTGTAATTAGTGACACATCAAAAGTAGATACTAAAATTAAATCTCTTTTAGTAACTAAATATTCATTTCTCTAAATAGCATAGTAGGAGGCTGCTTTGTTGTTTTCACCTACTGTATATAGTGTCACAAAATTCATACACTTTTAAATATTTTTGGGTATTTAAGAAATAATGTGACTAAAACTATTTCCTTACATGTACATGTACTTGTCCAGCTTTGCTGCAAAATGACGTGGCATTTCTCCACATCCATAGTAATTTCTGTCACTTTCAGGTAAGTGATCCACATCATGGAATATTATGCAGTCCCAGACAGCATCCTTCATTGCCTCTTTGAAGCCAACATTAAAGAGCATTGCACGATTAAAAGGTTGTGTACCTGTCTTCATACAGAAAACAAAGGAGACATTGTAAAAATCAAGAAGAGACGAAAAATTCAATACAATGAGAAAAACATATTCTAACACACACACACACACACACACACACACACACACACACACGCATGAAAAAAAAAAAAATGATTGACAATGATGCCTCTTTTGACCTGCAGCTCATGTTGGGTTGGCTGCACCCCAGGATGGGGTTTGCCCTCCTGGCTGCCAGGGCACACACCGCTGGCTCCTGTGAGCCAGGGCTGAGCCTGGCTCCTGCTGCCAAACAGCAACCCCAGATCCCTTTGTGCAGGGCTGCTCTCCAGTCACTCCCAGTTTACACTTGTGCCTGGCTTTACTCCATCCCAAGAGCAGAGTGGGACATTTTGACTTATTAAATCTCATCCCCTTAATCACTGCCCAATGCTCCAATTCATCTAGAACCCTCTGCAAGGCATCCCATCCTTTAAAAGTCAACCACAATGTCCCAGCTGGATCTCATCAGAAACTTGCTGATGGTGCATTCAGCCCCTGCATACACTGAACGTAAAGGCCCTGGAACTGAGCCCCGAGGAACACTGCGGCTGACCTACTTTTTTGCTGTGAAAATTTACAATGTCAATAGATTCTAAGAGGTCATCTTATTACCTACAAAATATCAGTACAATATAAATATATATATATCAATATATCAATATAATATAAATACAATATATTTGAAGGAAAGTGTCATGTCTCTGGCCAGTGCTTAAACTGGGGAATGGAGGTGAACTTTCCTTTTTCATTCAAAGAAGTAGAAGAGTGGAGTAACAATTTTAAAATTCTGGATTCATCCAAATCTTGGTAAGAATATCAAACCCCTTTTAGTAAGGAATCTTGAAAGTCACTTTTCAAGTAGATGCTGTTACCTGTTCAACAACATAGAAGGCAAATTCCAGCCTCTGCTTCTGCAACATAGGTATCAGATGGCGGAAAAAAATTGGAAGATGCTCATGACGATTCCGGAAAGGAATAAGGATAGCCACCTTCAGAAAAAAAAAAAACCCAAAACTATCATATCAGCATTTTAAAATTTTAATTTTTCAGTACAGATCAAGTTTCCTGTGGCTTTTCAACTTTTACATTTAAATTGGCTCAGTGTTTTACATGTTGGTTCCCCCTAGGAAGGTGTGCTAGAAATTTGCTCAAATAATTAAGAAAAAAAATTTGAGTAAAACAAAAATAAGATTTTCCTTTTATGTTCACTTACTTCGAGTTATACTTCAAGCAACAGACACATAGGACAGATTTGCATCCATATAATGAAATGTTTAATAACTACAGCTAATGAACCTTTGAAAGTTCTTGAAGATACATTTCAAATTTTTCTCCTAGCTGAAGTTTCTTCCTGAGCACAGATGGCATATTACAAATACTATAATATACTACATATGTAGCACCAAAAGACTGAGTGCTTGCAATGGTAAATTATTCTTGCATACCAACAAGAAAAAATAAACCAAAACAGAAAATCAGCATCTAACCTTCCACCGTGGCTTACAGTCATTTGGTTTCCAGTGTCCTCCTGGTTTAATGTCTAAATCTTTTGAAAACAGTTGCTGAATTTCATCAAAACTAATTTCACTCATATTGACATCAATAAGGCCTCCTAAAGAGAGGAAAAAAAATTATATACTAATTTTAATTAAGACAATTGACCTAACACTACAAGGAATATCATGGACAAATGGCATCAGAACTTTGTAGCTACACTACCTACAAGGAAATAAGAAACAATTTATACTGTCCTCTTAATCTTGAATTCTTAAAGAATGAATTTTTAGTGTTTCCAAAAACAAACATTCCTTCCATAAAACCCATAAACAAAATACTCATTTCAGAGGACACAGAACAAGGCAAATAATTTGAATTTTGCATCTTTTAGAGAAAATTTGCGTTGTCTTTCATTTCAAGTACCACTAGTAAAAATCCCACATCACCTGCACTATAGCACCTTTACTCAAATTCTGTGTGCCTTCCTGTTCCATTTCCACATTAAAAGAAAATGAATCATCACTACACTCCACAAACTTCCTCAATTTAAATTTTAGATGATGTGCACATTTCACGTAGTCTTCATCCACTAATTCACCACTATTTGCTTCAAACCAATAGCAATGGGCTGGATTTGAGAATTACCATTGGTAAAATTAATGACTCCAATGGGAAAAGCATTTGCAAAAGACATGAGAGTGAAATTCAGTAAGTTATTGAATAAAGACCACAACAAGATTTGAAAAAAATCAGATTAGTACCTACTATGAGAAAATATTAAGTTGACAGTTGAAAGTTGTCAGTCATTAGTTTATGCATGTGTAAAAACTGAAAATAATGATTCATAGTAAATACCCTCAAAAGCAATAGAAAGAATCAAGGAAATCTGGGGAGAAGTATGAATGAAGTATGAATGAATGTAACACTCATTAATTAGAAGCTCAAGTTTTCATTCAGCAACTACTATAATCTAGATCATCAAATAAAAATCTTGCAAGAACTTTCTGACAAGCACCATAAAATATTCTTCTTACTTTTGTCTAGAAAGTTAAGTATTTTGGTGAGGGTTGGTTTAAAGTCAGTAAAAATAAAAACACTCCCATTTTCTCCCATGTGTCCACACCCAAAAGATCCTCTTTGTGCCAAATAGATTGTTTGTGTCACAAAATGAACTAGCTATCTAAATCTTTTGAAAACATTGAAATTTTTGGAACACACTAGGAATAACTATTGTTTTCAGAAGAAGGTAGAAGATACTGCAAGAGCTATTTTAGTTTGAGGTATGATTAAATATAGTACTACTTGCAAGTAAAGGTAACTTTTTTAATGTAAAATCATAGGTGAAAAATTATAAATAACAGTACATTATGAAGCTATTTCAAGAGATTCAAAGAAACCCATATTTATTTCATTATTTTATGAAAAAAGAAAACCTGGCAGTTGCTAAAAAACCTGTATAGATAGACACTAGAACAAGCTAGTCCTACAGAGATTTAAATAAAAATTTTAAAAAAATTAAAAATTCAAATAACTATTTAAAAATAAGCTTATATTATCATAATGGTTGTGTCTGAAACTCTTCAACAACCAAAAAAAGAAATCTTATGAAATATAGAGTCAAGGTCAATCAACAAAGGACCAGTATATAAAAATGTAAAAAATAAATTTTAAAAAAATTAAAAATTTAATTTAAAAAATCAATTTCAACTACCAAGAGACAGAAAGAGTCTTTCAGTTCAAATACAGAATCTAAAGAGAAAATAAATAAAGGTCAATTACTACACCGGATAGTGAAGGAAATAACACGTGATTCAGATACCTCAGTCCTCTGAGAAAAGTGCAGATGCAATCAGATGATTATACAGTTTAAATTAGAAGAAAACATTAAATGGTAGAATAGTATTTAGATAAAGCCTTTAGATAAAGGTGCTTCTAAGTCCATGGGACATGATGAAATTCCATCCAGAGTGTTTAAAAAACAACAATAGTATTACTATACTAATTATAGTTTATAATTATACTGAATTATAAGTATTGGTACTATCAAAAGTACATAGGAGATGAGTGAATAGATATCAGCATTTTTTCCCTGTCACTGGTGGGGGGCAGGAGAAGGCATCTCTGTAAATAACTGTGCTTATTATTCACTAGTTCCATCAGTGTCTAGCAGGCTGCAATAACACATATTTATGCAATCCACAAAATAAGAAAGCTGAGAAAGCAAAAAAGATTTTGAAGAAGAAAATCAGAAAAAAAATTAATTCAACAAATGACATACAGAAACCAATAAAGTAAAATTAATTTGAAATAATAAAGGATGGTGTGTTACTGAAGGAAAAAATGAAGCATGCACAACAAAACAAGCCATACCTGGCTGCATTATAGATATAGAATATATGCAGAAAGACAGTTTTACAGTTTATAATGGATTGCACATTAATATGATCCAATGCAATGCAATTGTACAAAAATACAAAATCTCATCCTGGAATGTATTAACTGCTGCTCTGTGAAAAAAAAAAAGAGTTTTCCAAAACTAATTTGTTTTGTAGGCAGGATTTAAGCCAGTTATGATGCTTTACAAAGAAATCAAATTAAAGACAGTCTATGATGCAAAAAATTCAAGAATGACAAGAGCTTTAGAAACTATGCAGTCTAGAAAGGTTGGAATTATCAGTTCATCTACAAAGGAAAAGACAGACAGACAGATTCTTGTACTGCTTCTATCTTGAAGAAGAGGTGTTTTGCTTACGAATTACAACAGCATTGCTCAACCAGTGGGTTATAACCTGTTATACTGAGTCACACAACAAAAGGCATTAGCTGTTCCTATTTTAAGAGCATATGGACTTGGGACCAAATATGATTTTACCATGCCCCTTTCATGATATAAATATGGCAAGTGGATGCAAAGAAGAAAAGTTGACTTCTATAATAACCTTGGACTAATTAAGCATGTCAAAGTATACATGACTCAACAGTCTTTCTTCCCTGGCTATTTCACACTTCCTACAACATTTCATTAGATTAAAAGATCTTCAGAGATGATTTAGATTATAAATAGAGAGATGATCATTAAAATGCCATACATGGAAACCAAAAAGGGAAACACATATCCCTTTGTTGAAAAGCAACTTATCTAATGAATCATTTTCTATTAAAATTAATATTTATTAAATTAAACAGGATAGAAGAAGTACAGAGCAATTACTAACAACAACAAAAATAATGGAAAAATGAGAGCAGCAACAAGGAGATCTATAGAGAAATTACTAGTAGAACTATTTAGTTTTGAACTAATCTGGCAGAATTCCAACAGCCTGGTCCCTTGAAAGTGCTATTAAAAATACTAATTTATATGCATTTTTCAATCATCAGAAACATCACATCTTGTTTCTCTGATCATCCAGATTTGTCCTTTGGTGAACATTTTATGTTTCCAAATGTAGCTAAAACATTTACGAATGAAATACTTTGGTTTTATTTGTTCAGATGTTCAATACTATAAAAAAATGTGATTTTGAAAGTCAAACCCTATGTCTGGAGGGAAAGATGTTGAAATAAGGCTATTACGATACCATGGGCCTAATTACTACCTGGTTTAAGACAGTTTTCTATCTGATTTAGTTTCATAAACAACAGCAACTGATCTATACTTTTGGCTCCATGTCTGTATATTTAAAACATAAAACAAAGCTTAGAATCTGACATTACTTAAAAGAAACACAGGTTACATGCACTGTTTCTGTTTTCTTCAACAGATAAGCTCAGTTGAGATTAAAAAAAAAAAGTTATAATGGAATCTAGATTATCCTAATAAAATCTACTCCTTTTCTTTGAATTAAAATTGATCAGAATTCAGTTCAACTGCCAGCAACATTTTTTGGTATGGATCTGAACTGATATATTAGATATTTAATTAATTGCTCATGCTGAATGACAGCTCACAGATAAAGTCAGGTGTCTAAAAGACAAGAGATTAGAATTCTGGAATGCATCACAAATAACTTCAGAAACTATATGAAATTTTCTCTCTTACAAATCAGTAGTTCAATTATTTGATTTCGAATTAGTAAAGACACCAAAACTTCAGAACACATTAGTTACAGGCAAATTTCTGCTAAGCATCATTGTGCATTATCAGATGTATTTTGTTCACTACTTTCTGTTCTATACTTAAGACTCCTTACAATTTTATTTTAAATAAAAATAACTGTGTCTTGTTTAAAATACAATTCAATTTACTAGATAAACATTAAGATCAGTTTAAAACTTACTCATATAAGGCAGCTTCTCTGGACAAGGTTGGTAAGGAGAGTAGGTGAAGTTCTCTGGAAGATACATTGTTGTTTGAGCAACCCAGTCACTAGAATTGTTTCCTTCAGGATAATCTTAAAAAGAAGAATTGATTTTTGTAAAAACCTGTTATCCACTGAAATTCTACCATATCATCATGCATGTAAGAGCATTAACTTTTGGTTAAAAAATTCCTAGCAGCATGATTAAAAACATAATTTTATTGCACTAGAGGAATTATAATTAAAAACAAGTATCTTTGTTGCAGCTAATACAAATCTTTCCTACTAAAGGGAACCGAAAAATAGTAACTATTTGACCTTGACTCAAATTTCAGAGAAATAGGACTTGGGTCTAAGTTTTTATGATTGAGCTATGTCATTAGTGAAATTAAATAAGAAGTGTTCTTACCTGTGCCATTCAGTGTCGTATTTTTGTTAGTGTACAATCTTATCATGTGTCCTATTGTTTTCACATTTTCTCTCAACATTATACCACGAGCTTGCACCATAAAGAGATATGTGTTTGCTGATAAAACAAAAAAGCAATTTTGAATTTGTATTAAAACTATGTATTTCCAAATTATCCTAACATACATCTATAATGTATTCGACATTTTTTACTGTGTCTGAAACCATGGTCAGTGAACAATAATTCTTTGAGATGAGGGTCCACACTGTGAAACCTAACAGCAACAATAGAAAAGAATAAAATGGATTCATAACCATGGCTCTGTTCAAACCCAAAAACAACAGACTGTCGATAAACATTTTATATGACACTTTCATTTCTCTTTAACTTACAAAAAGCAACTGAGAGTGACAAGAAAATTTAATTTACCAATAAAATCATTTTCATATGTAGATACATGTCTCATATATAGATCTACTAAAATATCATTGAAATATAGGACAAAGAAAAAAGCCTAGGAAATCTTTTAGTCCCATATAATGGTCCCTTTTTTTACTCACTAGTTAGCACAATTTCCAGTCAAAATGTACTGTTATTCATTCACTCCAAACAGCTGCTTTGTTACACAACTGTTACAAATCTCTGCCAATCTCAAAGTATTAATGTTTTATAATTATACATGAAATATTTATTATAAGCATCAAGGGTGAGTAAATCAACATTCTGAGTAATTAAGTGATTCACTAAAAACAACAGCATGAAATATTTTTCTGTCTCAATCTTGCACCCAAAGCCCCAAATATGATCTCAAGACATTTCTTTGTATTCAACAGAAGTAAGTAAGGTAGAAATGAAACTGCATTTATATATCTGAGTGAGCAAATGTCTACCCAGAATTCAAAGAGCTAAAACAATATTGCAAAGAGAAGGAGAAATTTCCTTTACAGGAGTTAGCAAAGAGGGTCAAAGGGATCATCTGTCACTTCACCTACATTAAGCACCCTATTGCCTGGGGGATTTGGCTCCCTGTAACTAGCAACCACCCTATCAACAAAAAAAAGTGCTCTGCATCTTTGGGGGAAAGAACTAAACATACCAGGGATTAAAAATAAATAAAGAGATTAAAGAAAAGTTGGAAAATTATCTCAGGAACTCCATCAGATGACCCAGCACCAGTTCCATGCACAAGTAACTCCAGATCAACCAATAACTTCTTATAGCCCAAGACAGAGTCTGGAGCTACAGAGAACTGTGTGCAAGGGAGTGGGGGCACTTCGAGAGGGGAAAACACGGTGATTAATTCCACCACATTAGCAAACAATATTACCAGCACCTACAGAGATAAAAACACCAGCACTGTCCTTCAAGGACAAGTATTTCAAAGCCCTACAATAATGTCTTTATTTTTAAATGAATGAATGGGGGCATTGTCCCAGCTTTCAAAGAACTCTTTATTAAAACAAGGAATATTAACAGCTAAAAGAGTCTCTTAACCTGTCAGGTGCCGTGCATGGCATGAAATTCTCAAACCCTTGGCCAGCATGACTAGCTGTGTTTGTCAACAAGAGTTTACACAAGTGAGAAGTTACTCAGCTGCTACCATCCTGAAGTCGTCTCAGCACCTTCTGGCCACCAAAACAGAAGCAAAGCAAAACAAAAAAGCTACAACCTTGGCCTGACAACAGGTAGGAAATCACAGAAGAAAACTTCTTACCAGGATTCAAGACAACAGATAACAATCAGATTTCCTTAAACAAAAATTACACAAAAACTTCTCAGAAATTTAAACCAATTCTCGTAAAGTTCCAAATATTTAATTCCATTTGTAGTTTTCCATTCAAATACTGGAATTTTTAGGGTGTCTCTACCAAGCATTTCAAGGATTTTGTACAATCTGTGAATTCCTATATGAAGTTACCAATTCAAGAAATCTCCTCCTTTAGGAACCAACATAAAGGAAATTTGATCTGTTCTGCCAAGAACAACTTTTTACCTTCAAACAAGCAATTTCAAAATTCAAGGCTTTCCTGAAAGTAAAACCATGTGCATCTTGCCTTTCAAATAGTACAAAAAAATGCTTAATTAACAAAAAATTCCTTTCTTCAAATTTTAACATATTTTTCATTGGTAAAATCCCTTCTTTTTTCCCGAATAAGTTTTTTCTCCCATAGGCACAGCTCTTCTCTTCAATATCTTCCTATTCCAACACTAAAATAAAGTGGGTTTTCTTATATAAATCTGATAGTAAATATTGATTTCAGAGCTAGCATCTGGAAGACTGTGTGCTTTATTCTCCTTTTTTATGTGATACCAAAAGCTACAGTCACTTGGATTGTTAAATCTGCAGAAGGTTTATAGAGCTTTCAGCAGGCTTATAGAAGGATAACCTTAATTCACATAAACCAGGTATGGTAGGTTGATGTGGCTAACAGCTAAGTCCCCACCCAGTTGTTTGCTCACTCCCCTGAAGTGAGATGGAAGAAACAATAAGGGCAAAAGTCTTAGGAACCTGATATTGTAAAGAATTCAGACTAACGATTTTCAAACAAGTCCACAAAAATATCAAGAGGCCATGTAAATGTTCTCAATTTTTATGGGAAATGTTACTGCAGTCCAGATAATGTAGACATAAACCTTGGAAAAACAAGATTTTCTGCAAAAGCATCTTCCCTTTAGTGAAGTACAACTTATCCCTTCTGACACAGAGGAGAAAAATTTGAACAAACACAAGGCCTTTGTGAGAGAGAAAGTTAGAAAAGGCATTTGTCTTAAAAATAGACATCATGAAAAGACATAATTAAAAAAAAAACTCAACCAGGTAAAGTCTGCTGCCACCTTGGTTTAAGTATGCAAGAGCTGCTCTTGCTGCCAGGAAGATCTAACCTGGCCATGTTTTTTATCAATTCTTGTCTACCTCCTCTTTTTTGCTGAACTGCTTGTCAATTCACTATCCAACTCTACACAAACACATCAGGAATGAATCAGGAATAAAACATTCTCCTTTCTGGGCAGTCTTTTTCCCACTACCTGGCTCTCCAGCACAATCACAGTTACAAGGAGTACAGATCTGCTCAGTTTATTCCACTATCATTCAGCAGCTGCTCAGGTAGCAGCAGATGTTTGAGCAGCCAATTAATTACATCAGAAGCTAAAACATCAGACAAAAATCAAAAATATTAATTTAGTCCTAAAAATAAATCTAATCTATTGGTACAGGTCTGTTGGCAAAGATCTGTGACAAGGAGCACAGTTCACGTGTCACATCAATCAGCAGCAACAGGAACTAAGCATTCAATCCACACAGGCCAGGAGTGCAACAGAGAAACACTGCTTTTCTTCTAGGGGATGGGGGATGGCTGACAGCACAAGGCAGCCAGATAAAACTCCAGGAATTTCCTGCCACAAGTGCTAGAGCCAGTGAGAGGAAGTGATCTGCAGAACCTCACACTTACCAAGGAGAAGGTGTTCGCTGGGGATATGAAGATCAAGGGCAGCCTTGGCTGCAGAGATCATGAGATGGTGGAGTTCAGGATCCTAGGGGCAGGAAGAAGCAAAAGAAACCTCATAACCCTGGACTTCAAGAGAGCAGACTTTGGCTTCTTCAAATATCTGTGTGGTGGAATCCCATGGGATAAGGCCCTCAAGTGAAGGCAGGGCAAGAAAGCTGGGTAATATTCAGGGATAATCTCCTTCAAGCTTACAAGAGATCCATCTCAATGACTATGAAAATAGGTAAAATGCCAGGAGGCCTGCATGGATGAAGAAAAACCTCCTGGGAAAAAAAAGAATCAAACCCAAAAATAATACAGTGGGCAGAAGCAATCACAGGTAATGCAGGAGGAATATAGAAAAAATATCTGAGCATCCAGGAATGCAGTTAGGAAAGTGAAAGCCCAAATGGAACTGAGTCTGGCCAGGAATGTCAAAGACAGTAAGAAACATTTCTGTAAGTACATAGGTGACAAGAAGAAAACTCAGGAGAATGTGAACCCACTGCTCAATGAGAAAAACACACAGATAAGCCTGCAATGCTGAATGTCACCTTTTCTCAGCCTTTATTAACAAGACCAGTCTTCAGGAAGTCCAAATCCCCAAGACCAGTCTGGAGCAAGGAAGTTGTACTCTTGCCTTTGGTGGAAGACTTAAGCAAACGGGACACAGGTTAAGTCCATGGGCCCTTATGGGACGTACCAAGTGCTAAGGGAGATGGCAAATGTCTTTTCACAGCCACTCCTGAATACCTTTGATCAATCATGACAAGTGGAAGGAGGGCCTGAGGACTAGAGGAAAGTGAATATCACTCCTATCTTCAAGAGGGAAGACCCAGGGAAGTATAGGCTGATCAGCCTCAGCTTGATCCCAGGGAAGGTGATGGAGCAGCTAATCCTGGAAATCATTCTTCAGGTACACAAATGACAAGAAAATCATCAGGAATAGTCAACCAACTGGGTAACCTTCTCTGATGAAAGACAGATAAGGAAAGAGCAGGGGGCATTGTTGCCAGGACTTCAGTAAGGCCTTTCACACTGTACCCCATAAGACCCTCCCAGACAACTGTTGATGGCTGATGTTGTTTGCTGGCTGAGCAAATGGTAAGCTGGATCAAAAACTGAATGACCAAGCCCAAAAGGTGAGGTCAGTGACCAGTGATGTACCCCACAGGTCAATACCAGGCTCATTCCTGTTAACACCTTCATTAGTTATCTGGATGACAGGCAGAACATAACCTCAAAAAGTTTATTTGCGACACAAAAAAGGGGTAAGTAGCTGATATGCCAAAGGGCCATGCTGCCATCCAGAGGCACCTCAGCAGACTGGAATAATGTGCTGACAGGAGCTTCATGAAGTTCACAATGAATAGTGCAAATTTCTGCATCTGGGGAGGAACAACCCCATGCGCCAAAATATGCTTAGGGGCATCCAACTGGAGAGCAGCTTGGCAGAAGAGGCTTTGGAGGTCCTGGTGGACATCAAGTGGAACATGTGCCAGCAATGTGCTGCAAAGAAGGCCAACAGCATCCTGGGATGCATTAGGAAGCACACTGCCAGCAGGTCAAGGTGATTCTTCACAGCCTTCAGTCAGCACTGTTCAAGCCACACCTGGTATATGTCCAGTT